AAGAAAAAAATTTACATGGACAGATAACTTGGCTTCATTTTTCATCAGTTTCTGAGAAACTGTTTACTCTCTTACTGAAAACCTGAAACTTGAGGTAGATGTAGAAAAATTAAGCCTAAAATTTGGACATGAAGACTAACAATGTTCAAAATAAGTAAAGAATCTAAGAAAATAATGTATGTCGTAAAATAGCCTTAATTTCATGTCTGTCCTTACTGGTCCTTGCTATAATACATTTTCATCAAAAGGAATACTGTATGGTACTGTAAGAATAACTAAATAAAAGTCTGAAGTCTGATTCTAACCTACTGATGATTGTACAAAGAGATTAAAGTGTAACAAAATAAATGGAACATGCCATAATGTGGTGTCATTCAATAAAGTGACCTGTAATTACTCTTGTGTTCTTTAAGTAAATAACTTCAAAAATTTATACTGGAAATAGCCTAGCATGTTTACCTTTTGTAATATCCAACCAGATTTAACAGTAAAGTTTTTTACTAAGTTAGATTACCTTAATGTTAGATAAAACTTCTATAAATGCATTGTCAGTAACCTGGGAAAGTATTACGTGAATAGTAATATAAAAACTAGGCATGCCAGAAAGGTATTTTTATGCTGATGCTGTAGATGACATGAAATCTTTCGCTATAAAATTAGGATACTCATCTAAATGAGTCAAATTTTGAGCTCATAGACACACTTTCTATAGTTGCATTTTTCTCCCAAAGTGGTCATAGCCATCCTTTAATATTTTTGCTTTTTGAAGCTTTTAAGGACCTGTAATCTTTTGTATTAAATGGTGTACACACAATTACTCTTGTATGGTCGTCTTGGAGATCAAAGAAATTGTACATATAGGCTTAAAAAAAATCGGGATGTAATACAAATCAAACTGAAGAAATTTGTATATGTATTCAGTTTAAGTAATCACAATGGAATACTTAAATTGCATGTGAGCTTTTACTTCTGTTTTCTACTGAATTCAGAAGTGCATGATTATTATTGGAAGCAAGACCTAACTCGCTAAATAAGTAACAAAAATAATTAGTTATTTTCCTTTATCAGCCTACTTTCTAAAGGTAGAACAAAATAATGAGGTCTGAGATCTTGAATTGTGGAAAAAGGCAAAACATTGTTCCTAGTATTCACCAACAGTTCATGACCACCTCAATGCAGCTGCTTTCCAAGCAAGCTGGGGAAGGACTTTTCATAAGGGCAGTTAATGACAGAACAAGGGGAAATGGCTTTGAGCTGAAAGAGGGTAGGTTTAGATTAGATATGAGGAAGAAATTCTTCACTGTGAGGGTGGTCAGACACTGGAACAGGTTGCCCAGAGAAGCTGTGGATGCCCCCTCCCTGGAAGTGTTCAGGGCCAGGTTGGATGAGGCTTTGAGCAACCTGGTCTAGTGGAAGGTGTCCTTGCTTGATGGCAGGGGGGTTGGAATTAGATGATCTTTAAGGTCCCTTCTAACCCAAACCATTCTATGATTCTATGAAGACAGCATGCATTGGGTGACAGGAAGGGTACTGATTTGGTGATTTGAGCTCAGGCTCTTCTCACGTCTGTGAACACTCTCTGAAATGATTTGGTTGAGAATTGCTTATATGGAATTGCTTTGTTTTTGTCCACTAAGCCAAATGCCTGGCTTGCCTTTTTTTTCTTCTTCTTTTTTTTTTTTTTTTAAATTCCAATGTAGTATACATTGTGTCATAAACTTTCACTGGTCCACATCTTTTGCATTTAATAGGGCGGAAATATAGACATCTATCGTCCTAATTTGGGCATGCTGTAATCTATTTTGATTTGCATTATATACTTAGCTTGAGAAATAGGAAGGCTGAGAATCAGGCCTTTTGTCTAGGTCTCTCTGTTAAACTGAATTGAATTTAAGTTGGTGGGCTGAAAAATACTGTTTTTTCAGTGGAAGAGAGAGCTTTTGATGTATATAGCATGAGGAATTTTTAGACGTTATCTTTTTAAAAAAAGAATATTGTGCTACTCCATTATGATGGACACAAATTTAGATTGAGCATTAAACATCTTCAGTTTCAGCAAAAGTAGCTGCTCTACAGTACCCCAATCTTCAAAGCACTGGTTTTAAGAACTTAACATTGTTACACTTCTTGCGAAAGAGATTTTGAACTCTCTGCATCCAACAAATTAGGCAAAAAACCAAGCTGTTGCAAGTGAGCTGTTGGTGTGTGTGCTTCATTACCCTTTGGTAAGACATAGCACCTGAGGGTAATTGCTACAGAAAGAATTTGCAGAACATTGAAGTAAGCTTGCAAAATGTGGTGTAATCATTTGCCAGCCTTACCCTTGCCTCTCTATTTAGTCTTTTCCTATCTCTTTATGCAGTATGAGCGTTCCCTGCTGTTGGGGTTCTCAGCTTATTCGGTTCTTATACCAGTAGTCACAGATCATCTGTTTCTCACCTGTTGCTTTTCCTGTTCTATTGCAGCAAGAGAACAAAGCACTACTGTCTGTGCTCAGTTGAAAACCTTTCTGGAGGGAGAGCTTGGGGACGGCATTGTAGTTTGACTTGGGATTTAACAGTCTCAAACTTAATCTCTTTCTAGTTTGTATCATCTTGAAAATCTAGTGCTAAATCAGCCTTATGAAGTTACATGCACTTTTAATATGTGTTATTCTTTTCAACTATAAAAGTAAAATAGGGTTGTTCCTATGAGAACTTTTAATAATCGCTGAAACGTGTAGTATTATGTAGGGTTGTAGCTGATGCACTTTTGAAGAATTTACTTCCTGTTCTTATTGAGTTCATAGCCCAGAATTGCTTCATGATTATAATTGCTGTTAAACGCACATTATTAACAGGGTTACTGCCGAGTGCTGTATAATGAACTTTAGTTCATTAGTTAGAATAACAGTGGTTGTCTGTAAACATAAGTTCTAAAAGCACTAATGTGTTGATGAAACCTGCGCTTTATCTTATAGCTATCTCAAGATGATGCTGCTGACATCTACTTTCATGTTATGTTTCCCCAGTAGATAGCATTAGGAAATACTCCAAGTGAGTTCACATGTGGCACAACTATTGCAATGACTTTATATTCGCAGTTGTGTTTTCTAGTGTGGAGTTGCCTCAGTGTGGTGCAGGAATGTATAATTAGGGAATATAATGAAATGTGCTGTTGATAGAAAAGTATATTTGGCATCTCAAATACTGACCTTCTCTGACATCATTAGACGTCTGAAGGTCTGATACAAAGATAGCAGAGTGGCTTATCCAGGTTTGTTAACACTCTGAAATACCATGTTTTTATATTGTGCTTTTTTAATGCTTTTGGGCAACAGTGACAAACGTTTTCAACTTTCTTATGTGTTTGTGACCACTATTTGTAACTTATTTGTCATGCACATTAAGGTTTCACTACTGGAAGAAAATAATGCTTGTTCATACTAAGCTGGAAGAACAAAGCATGGCGTAGAAACAGTTTATCAACTCACAAACCAAAACTGCCTCTCAAACTCACCTACATTTTGCAGAATTGTTTAAAAAATACATGTTAGTTAAAAATCTTCTAGTTCCTGGAAAAATGTAAATTAATGGAAACAAAAAGAAGTAAATATATACATGCAGTTTGTTCTTCCAAATGTTAAATCCACATTTCCTTTAAATGCCGTACACGTCTCTGTGAAAGTTTTTCCATAGTTGTTTTTATTATTCACAATGCACTGACATGTAGGTTTTTCTATTTTTTCCTGTAAATACTTAGAATACTATATATATAAGCAAAAATATTCAGGTAGAACTTTGAAATACAACAAAAACAGGTGGTTCTATGTCAAGTATTCCGTCTTTTCTTTATGTTGCTTATATTTTACAAAGTGCAAGTTAACTATTTTCATCTCATACCCTTCCTCCTAAGTCAATAAATTTCTCCTGCAGAAATGTAAAATGTTTAATATTGTCATGAAAAAAAACAAATGAACAAACCCAGTCTAAGCTCTTTCCACCATTTGTAATCAAATATGGTAGTCTTTTGTGAACACTACTGGAAGACTGCTGAAGAGCAGTTTAGACAGGTGCCTATTAATATTCTTCCTTTTTACCTATACATCTCTGACAACATGAGTCTAACAAATGGTGGCCAGCAAAGGTGTGGCTTTCCAAGTGAGTATTGTTTTGCAGTGTATTGATAGTCTGTATGCAGGTATTCAGTATTTAATGATCACTTTATTATCAAGTGAGAAATAATTAGTAAAACACTTTAATATTTGGTAAATTTTTCATCTTGGTCCCATGAATCATCTTTAGGTATAGCTGTTAAACCTAAGAAAAATCTGCATTTCTACTCTTAGAATATAGTAAGTATAATTCCATTTAGTACTAACACTTTATTACATTTCTCTTGTATTGTGAGCATACCCACCCAACATGACAGTTTAATTGCTTTAGAAACAGTTTTACGTCAACCATGATATTAAAGACAAAAGGCAGCAGAACTTAGTGCTGATAATAGTGTATTTTAAGTTTTGTTGGCCCAAAAAGCCAAGATAACATAGATTTCCCCCTCTTCCTTTCAGTAATGATATGAACGTTATGAGCTTTTCATCAGTATGGTATGAGAGCTAAGATAAGGGTGATTTAACATCTTCTCTTCATAAAGTTGTTTTTGAATTCTGAGTGAGCAAAATAATTTTGTTTTGAAATTATTCTAATTGAGGAGCAGGCAGAATATTAATGAATAGAAAAATCTTTGCACTACTCCATAGATACCAGGCAGAAAACTGTTTTACTCCATCTTTGTTTTGTCTAGCTCTGTTATTGTATTGTGTCAGTAGAGGTGTGATAATTACTGTTTGTGTAGATGATAGTGAGTAAGGTTGATCTTGTACTCTGAAGAGAGGAGACTGCTGACAACATGGGGTATGTATGCAATACAAATAGAACACAGCTTTGAAAGCTTTTTGTGGCAGTAAAGTAAATGAAGTATCATGAAAGCAGCTGTATCTCACATTTTCTTTCTTTCAGGATATCTTGAATAACCTTGATTCATGTGATCTTGAAGATGATGATCTCATGCTTGATGTGGACCTACCTGAGGACCCAACTCATGACAAAGGTTAGTAAATGAGACAATCTTATTGTGAAACTGCATTATGGACTTCAGACTTTTGAGTTGCATTGTTTTGACTTCTGCTTTAATAAGCTGGCACACTCTTCAAATTGCGTTTTCTTTAAGTAATAAATCTTTCTTTTCTGAAATGTGAGAAGTGTGATATTTCCATTCCTCCAAATAAAACTCTTGTGTTTGAAGAATTCTAAAGTTAGACATTTACTGCTTTTTATAAAAAACGCAACCTTGTTGCACACTGTTTTTTATTATTATTATTTTAATAAAATAATTTCAAACTTAAGTTAATCCTTCAATTTTATGCTTCAGCTATATTTGAAAATGCTGGGACAACATTTTTGTCATCTTTGGTGAATGACAGTGTAATTCTTCTTGAGATAATTATTTTCTTCTACAAAATGGCAATATCTCCATATATATTTCATACAATTCAGGGTAACAGAAGCCTTAAGATTTAAGATGTGGTTTTTCAAGAAGCCTTTTATGCACTCTTGTTGTCAGTGACAATGCTGGCAAACGTTTCACAGGGAGGATGGTGGTACCTATAAGCCACTAAAATAATACAAATCCAGACTAGAGTGAAGTAGGTAAGGCAAATTATTGCTGCACTTTCTCAAATTGTGGCCTGGCAAAGTTTGAGGCATTTGCTTTTGGTCATTCTTGACCTACTTGTAAGAATTGTCACTGTCATGTGAATATGGATATTAGCTTTAGCTCTCAAGTTCAGTGGAGGCTAACATATCTTCAAATGAACAGAAACACTGGATGTGGAGCACTGTAGTGCCTGACCCTGTACAAACAGACACTGAAAGAAGAAGCGCTTTGCTTGTTTGGTGAACCATTTAGCTGCCAGCTGAATATTGGCGAAATTCAATTTCTTTGAGAGCTCCTTTGAGTTCTTTGGATGAAGGCTCCTGTGTGTCTGTTAGATGCAAAGTAACAGTAAATAAATACATAGTCTTCCATCTACCGCAGTGGTGGCACGTCATGTTTTAACAGTGTGCATATATGAAGTGCAGTACTTAATCTTTTAAATCTCAGAATAAGTTTTCCAAAGTACTTATGTGAAAGGCACTTATTAGCAATAGTGCTAGTATTCAACTTTTCAGCCCAGACAGGTGTACAATTTTTATTTTTTGTTTTTAATTTTCCAGAATGGATGACAGTGCAAGCATAGATGATTTCTCACAGTACTAGTCATTATGCATCTAAGTATTCTTTCAATACTGGTAGTTCTAATCCTGTTGGGAAAAATTAAGAAACATTTTTAAAGGACAGATCAATTTCTCTTAAGTTTCCTTTTTTATGAGACATGCACTGCATCTGCATCAGTAATTCCATTTCAAATTATGAATTTAAAAACTGTTAAAATGCATGCATTTTAAAGGTGTATGTTTGCCACTAAAATTTAAGAAGTTTGTTTGCGTTTTAATCTAGACACAAATAAAATATGACTTTTACTTCAGTGCTTTCTTAATTACATCAATACAATAAACTTAAATCTCCTCACACTTCTACAGCTAAGTATCAATAATGTTTGTGTAGCTGGAATGTTTGGTGGCTATGATGATCTGCTGTGTAAGCTGCTGGTTCAGGAGGAGAGACTTGCTGTTTCAGATCAGTGTTAACTAATTACTATTTTTAGCTCTTTTTTTTTTTTTTTAGAATTGGGTTTCCATATAAAATTAACATGGCATAAACTGCTATAATTGCTTCTTATCTTGAAATCACTGAGTTTTTAGCAAAAGTGATCCCAAAAGAAGAATTCAAGTCACCTCCAAGCTTTCCCTTAAGTAAACATGACCACCTGGAAAAGCAAAAGTTGTTCTTTGTTAATATTTGTGTGTCTTTACTCAGTGTCTCAATTTCATTTTCCAAAGCTGAAAATCACAATAATAAAATTACTCATGTGCTTATTGAGGGCTTATTTTATTATTCAGTTAGAAAAACTGAATTGTAGATATGAATATTTGTTATAATAGTATTTAACAGCACTTTTTGCCAACACTTTTTCATAATTATATATGACTTCACTGACGTCAGCCTCTTAAGACTTTCCAGGTCTACAGAAACTCTCCTTGTTTCACTCTGGAGTTTGGGATGCCGCTTGGACACTAATTATAGAAACAGTTCTAGCTCAACAAGTATGCAGTGAGTGAGGATGGCAGTTTTAAATCACAGGGTAAAACTGGGCTCACTTCCCAACAACACGCAGGCTGGGAACTAAGCAGGAAGGAAGGCCTGTTTATGAGCGTCTTATGCGCAACTATGTCTGAGTAGGCAGCCGAACAAAACAGTGTTCTCTTGTGTAGAGGTATTCTCCTAGCAAAGGACTGACAATGTGAGGAAAAACTCCTTGGGTAAGTGAGGGAGAAATGCGGTGGCAGAATAGCAGTTTATGACTTTTTTTTGCTGTGTCTGACTGCATGGTTAGCAGTTGTTTTGGCTTTGTTTCTAGTGGTTTACAAGCTGTTGCCAAATATAGCTGTTGTTCCCTTAAGAAGTTTGTGGAATCAGCTTTGCTTTGCAGAAGTTAGTGTTTTAAAGAGATTGTTTTGTTTGCTTGTTTTAAATCATGCCCGTTGTCCAGGTAAAAAAAGATTAAATGTCTCTCATGTTGAGAAACAAACAAGATGAATAGGATGAGATATATATGTATTTTAAGTAATGAAACTGTTCTCTTTTGGAATTAACTGCTGGCCTTTTTATGAAATGTCTTTCTGTGTATGTGTTGTGTGAACTCTTTAAAGGCCTGAAGATCCTGTCAGTAAGAAAGACAGGAAACTGTTACTTTTGGATTTTTTTTTTTTTTTTTTCTTACCCATAGCCCTACCTCTTCCAAATGATTTTCTACTTAAACCCTAAGTACTGTTAAGACTGAATTCTGTAGTTTCTGCTAGGGATTAATCTTATTCTTGTAACAAGTTTTGTATGCTGGTAAAAAAGTGACGTTATTACAGAAGTCTCCTTGACAGTCCTAAAATGCATACTTTTTTGGATCAGTTCAAATAAATAAAAACCCACAGAATTTACACTGCATCCGTTACCAGCACATAGTTAGTATTTTATTTACAAGGTCTTAGGAACAAATTTTACAATCTTTTTGATTTTATACTCTCTGTAGAGGAATGTGAAAATATGAACCGGTGTGATAGACAAGACAGAAATGCTAGGCAACATCAGGAAGGATTCTGGAAAAGAGCATCACAACAGCGATGGAATACACAGGATCACTATCATCTTGGCCATGCTGATCACTATATCCATGGTAAAAATGATTTGAACAGGTAAAGGACTTGTCTCTTTTCTCCCAAACAATTAAAATACTGTGATGAGAAATCTCTTGGCACTGAAGAGTCTCAAGTGATACAAAACATTTTCAGAATAGTTGTATGTCTATAAATAGCATATCTGAGTGGGAGCATCACTGAGATTCATAACAATTTAGTTATAAACTTTTGTTTCTGTCATGGTTTTTAATCCAAAAATTTGTTACTTGTGCTTATATGATACTATAAATGCTTGATTAGATTACCATATGTGTTCCATGGAAAAACATTACAATGTCTTACTACTTACATTTTGTAAACTTGGTCAGCTTTTTACTTATTGAATTGTTTTTAAGTTAAATGTGATCCTATACTTCTTAGAGGCTAACTTGACTTACAGAGTTTGTAGAATCCTGATGAGCAAAATGGTTTAGGGTACTGTAGTTGTCAGTCTGTGAGTGATTTATGCAAGTGGGAAGAAAAGCCCAGCATTTCAGTGAAATAGGTCTGACATTTTCAGATTTGTTTATTTTCTGCTGTATGCCATAGTACGTGAATATAGCCCATGTTACAGAACTTTTTTTTTCTCTAAATGTTCTCCAACTCTAGTTTGTCTTCAGTGTGGCTTTATTTTTTTGTTTGGTTGGTTGTTTTTTTAGGGTGTCAAACTACCTAGAATCTCCTGCTGGTCACTTTGAAAGCTATGGAGCACCAAATTTTTACCAGGCTCCTAGACAGCTGGTGGGTTTACCAGAGAATACTGTGATGCTTGATGAAATGACACTTCGGCACATGGTCCAAGACTGTACAGCTGTAAAAACACAGTTACTGAAACTGAAGAGACTGCTGCACCAGGTGAGCTGTTTAAATGGAACAAAACCAGTAAAGTATATTGGAGAGTAAGCCTAGATGAGCTAATGTTCTGTTTGACCTTATTAGGCTATTGTCATTTCCTTCAGACATTGAAATACAGCGTTCAAGAAAGTGTGCACTTTTTATTGCTATTTAAAATAGTACTTTTTCTGCTTTTTTAGCACTTTAATGATGGCAAAAAGTATTAAATGTTGTTATTCTGCTTCTCTGAGGAAATAATGATAAATTAAAAAAAAATCAGTGGATGTGAAGACAAGCTTTTATTTAATAAAATCCTAAAAAACTGGAAGTGAAAAAACCAAACAACCAAAAATCAATCCCATTGATCAAACTTTCATTTAGCAAGTCAATGTTAATAGCTTTTTCTTAAGGCTTTATTTTCCTCATTGTTTTGACAAGAAGCTTATGAAATCCTACTGGGTCACCTCTGTTTCAAGTGCTGAAATATAACCTTTCCTAGTGCGTGAAATCACCAAATTGTCATAAGCGTTTAAGGAGCTTTTTTGTTTCACCTCAAAACTTGGCAAATTGTGAGAGTTGGTAAAGTGCTGGATGACTCAGCAGAAGTATGGCATTTCAACTACCAAAATTCCTTTGCTACTTTTAAAAAAAATAAAGTCCACCAGACGTTCTTTGGAGGCATTGAAAAGTATTCGTATGATGTTCTCATTAATACTAGATTTACTGCTGTTGTCTTCTAACAGAATAATGCAATGGAAATAACTTTGTGCTCTGAAAGTAAGATACTAACAAAACACAGAAAAACAAAAAGCAAATTAACCCTGAGGCTAATTCAAGGGTATGACTATGCCTTTTAGAAATGTGAGCATTTGCTTCCTATGGTAACTGAAAATACTGGAGGTGTTTTTCCACTGACAAAATCAGATATACAATTGGAACAAAAATAATGTAGTATCAGAGAGGGAAGGTGTGTTCTTAGAGCCTAATGTCTGAGTAGTGGACTGCAGAAACTGTGCCTCCCAACAGCCTCAAGCATGCAATTAGTACATGAGATAGCAGGGAATTTTATTCAGAGGTTTTAATGCCTTTAACACAGAGACAACTAAACAACTAGATCGATGATCTGTTAGTGTTGTTCATTGTGTAAAGATGTGCATGTTATAGCCAAATAGTGTGTGGCCCTGCAAAATATGGTATTCTAAGTCTTGATATAGTTTATAATAGCCAGACTTTTCTAAAAGGTTGCAGAATACAAACATGGCCTCAAGTAGCTCAGATTGTTTGTTTCATTGTTTTTTTTTTGTTTTGTTTTTTGTTTTTTGTTGTTGTTGTTGTTGTAACACTCACAGGAGAAACAGTTACTTCTAATACAGAATCACAGAATGCTTAGGGTTGGAAGG